GTGTACCTAATAAAGTGGCCGGTGAGTGTATATCAGATTTAAATTTCTTTAAGTATACTTTTACAGGGTAAATTCTATGAATTAGCTTGAATGACACTTCTTTAATTCTTTAACTTTATTGGTAAGAAGGAAAACATTTGGTAAAAGCCATACGTTCCTCCAGGACACATCATCAATAAAACGGTTCCAATAGGAGAGGCTAGCAGGTACAGAGGAAACCTCATTTTGAAAAAGGGACCTAATTGTTTTATTTTTGTTGTATGGAAGGGAGTTAAAACATATTTTACCTACAGGAGAATGTTTAGGTGTAAAAGTCAGTGCCTGATGACAGCTGACCCTTGGTTTCTGTTTAAATAACATGCAGATTTTTGAGGAGAAAGCACCAAAAACTTTACAGTATTCTCCAGGAGGAATAACGATATTAAATTTTGACAGAAACTCATTATAGTTAAGTAAAACATCATCATTGTTAAATAGTTGATCTACTAGAATAATGTTGTGATTAAACCATGTTTCAAAAAACAGAGATTTCTGCTTGAATAAAATATCCCTATTATTCCAGATGAAATAACGATGAGGGGAAAAGTTATGTTTGTAGATGAGTGACCAAGATAAGAATGCCTGACGATGAAAATCAGATAATTTAACAGGAACCTTTTGTACATCAAAGTTACACATAAGGAAGAAGTTCAAACCACCCATTCCAGATAAAATATCGTAAGGAATGATGTTCCAAATAGAAGCTGGATATTTAAAAAATTGATGAATCCAGTTTACTTTGAAGGTGTTATTTAGAGTGGAGAACGATAGAAAGTTCAAACCTCCATTATCATATGAGTTCATCAGTACAGATTTCTTAAGGTAATGAATCTTGTTTTTCCAAATAAAATTGAAAAGTAATTTATCGATTTCTTTACTACTTTTATTGTCAAGGTGTAAAGCCCGAGCTGCATAGGTGAGTCTAGAAATGCCTTCAGCCTTAGTAAGTAAAGTACGGCCTTTAATTGATAGGTCCCTCAATAGCCATTGATTTAGTCATTTTTGGGTCTTAATAATTAAAGGGTTGAAGTTTAAAGAGCTTCGATTTTTTTGATCCTTCGTGATAATAATACCCAAGTAATTTATTTCATTTTTAATTGGGATGTTTTCGATTGAAGTTTTGGAACAGTCTTTAATAGCCACAATTTCACATTTACTGAGGTTTAGATGGAGTCCAGATGCTTTTGAGAAAGATTTAATAACATTAATAACT